TTCTAAGTGTGAAGGAGAAACTACGGTGGCTGTGAAACAGATGATAAACTAATCTAAATCTAGTGTCAGTGTTTTGTTTGTCCCTCCTGGGCTACTAGGTGATTATACACTAATGAAAACATATCTATTAATACTATATTCCATTTCTGACTATAGATCCTCCTCAATGTTACACACTGGACCTTTGAAACAGTAAACAATAATGGTTAAACAGTAGAAATCAACTGGTAACTAATCACTTTTTAAATTCCAATATTTGTTTCCCATTTACTTTTGATTACTGAATTTACTGGGAGTGTGCATGTTTTACTAAGAATAGAAAATATTTTATTAACAGGCAAGTTGCAATGCTGTCACTTGTCAGAGGGCTCAGCAGATATACAGCAGAGCCTGTATTGATATCCTGTATGTGTCACAGGGCGTGTTATATCTTTTGTTTCCAACTCAGTTTTCATTTAATTCTGTTTTTCATTTGACATGCTTGAATGTCAAACTACAGGCAGAGGCTGAGAGTTTCTTTTGAGTGTTTCCTGTTTCTGAATGCTGTAACAAGTGAAGGGAGTGCTGGAATACCTGTGGAAGTCCTCGGAGTGCCGGGCTTCTTCTCCTCCCCTGGCTTGCTGTCGGTCTTAGAGGCTGAAGCACAGAGTGTACAGTTGTTGCAAAGGAGATAAAAAATAACAATGTGTAACATTACTGTACTATAATGCATCAGAAAATGCATTGAATATACTTATTTATTTAGTATTAAAGCTCCAAATAAAAATCCTGATCATTACGTATATGTGTATGTTTGTGTGAGGGTGTCTGCCGTACCCAGAGGCTTTTTGGCTGCGGTGGCAGTGCTGGTGCGAGTAGACGCCGTTGTGCGCACTGATGTAGCGGTTTTACTGGCCGCTGTGGTAGCAGTTTCATTTTTGGTGGCAGCGGTGGAGCCTGTTTGATTTGAGGTGGCAGTGCTGGCCTTTGGCACGAGGGGGCGCTTCTCTGCAGTTGTCTGAGGAGAGGGGGAAAAATAAAAAACGGGAGATGTCAGATGAGGACAGTCAGTAGCAGTAAAACCATTGTCAACAAATCAAACGCACTAAGGTGGGTCATAAAACAACTTGTTTTATGACTTGTCTGTCATCTGTTCAGGACAATGTTCACTGAGAAATTTAGGTCAAAGATTTTGCCCCAATGTGTGTAACATGTAGACTAGAGTCCAAGGCGTTCCTGGAGGATTGCACATTTCATTCAGCAGCAACCCCCCTCCCTCCCATAACCCCTTGAATGATGCCATGCTCCACATACAGCTGAACCGTCCTGCAACAAGCTGGCCTCGCTGAACTGAGTCACCCTGCACCCCTGGGCGCAGAGGCGCTAAATAAAGGCTGTTAATTAATCGCTTGTGGTGTCACACTGGTTGCAGTTAAGGAGGCCACCGGACGAGGGTGACCGAAGGCTGAAAGCACAGAGCACTGAAGAAGTAAAAAAGTTACTCAGTACATCTTAATCCAGTGACACTGATCTTATCAGGCGAGGGTTTACAGGTAGGGTAAAAGGTTACTTTTCCAGCATATTTCATCTCTATTGGAGCGTTGGAGTTGTGGATACAAACACATGGGGGAGAAAGGGAGGGGTTTGACATGCAACAAAGGCCCACTGTAGGAACTGAACCAGGAATGTTGCATTTACGTAAGTAAGTATGTATGTATGTATGTATGTATGTATGTATCTTAATCACTAGGTCACCAGGAAGAGCAACTAATACATTTTTAAACAACTCATTCACTAACACAACAGTGGTCAGTTAGCAGCCATTATTAGCAACAAAATTTGGGTTGTGAAAACCCCTTGTGGCTGGTGTTCAACCTCCCCCACATCGACACGTGCTCTTCAAATATTGTCACTTTATTAATTACTCATTAACACTTATAATTGCACACTAAGGCTTATTAGAAAGTGAGAAACTCATTCATTCATTCATGACACTGTACTGTTTGTTGTTTCAAGTTTGTAAAAGATTGTTGCTGCTACTTTTTGTGTGTATGTAAAGCACTTTGTAAACATTTTGCCTGCATTTTTAAAATAGTGCTATACAAATAATTATATTATATATTATATATATACTCAAAACCTGGCTATACAAAATGTGTTAATAACTTATAGCTGCTCTATAAGTTTATGTTATATTAGTTAAAGATGAATTAATATAAGTAAGTTACAACTTAAAATGCTTTATTAGAAAGTGGCTACTGAGCACTGTCAGCGCTATAGGTTTCTGAGGATGGACTACATATGCCACTGTACCCTTTGACCAAGATTCATCAGAGTGTTATAATACACTACTGTGGGTCTGTGCATGCTAAAAGGCACTGAGACCAGATGGTCATATTCCCTGACTCAAGGCGGAAACAGATTTTTGTGAGGCTAAATTTAATAAGAGCCACACATTTATCAGTGTTTGTACTCAAACTCAAAATACAAAAGAAATCTGGTCCATCAAATGTCTTCTCTAAAATGTCCACGTGCAGTCAGATGAAATTCAACCATGTCTGCACTGTTTGGAGCTGAGAGGAAAAAGTATAGACAGCACTTGAAGCATCTAGCATGCTTAAGGGTTGATGAAATTCTGGATCCAGGCGTTGTTCCATATAACTGAGCATTGAGACGCCCAGACAGCTGAAACTTACCTTGGGTTTGACATCACGTGCGGTGGTTGAGGATGCAGGGCGGCTGGTGGAGGTGGTGGAGGGCCGCTTTGGACCAGCAGCAGCTGTGGATGGTGCCTTGGCTGTGGTTGGTTTTTTGTCTGAGGTGGAGGTGGTGGTGGAGGGTGTGGGGCGTTTAGTAGGGGCTGAACCACCAGCAGCGGCGCTACTCGGCCGCGCTTTGGCAGCAGTAGTCGGTTTGGGCGCCCCGGCAGCAAGCTGCGACACGAGACCGACACATACAGGGGCGATGGAGAGCAAAATAAGGAGGGAAAGCAAAGGAAACAAATAAGGAAAATGGATGATAACAGCAGGGGAGGCTAAGCAGCTCAAGCAGCATTATAATAATAAATGAATAAAATGAATAAAAATATATTAAATAATAATTAGCAATGGCTCTGGTGTTTCAATGTTAACACAAGTTTATGACTTTAAATAGCTCTGTATATAGTAGGCATAAAGAAAGCAGTAGCAGAAGCTTGAGCAGCATGCGTGATGAATGCTTTCTCTCATTTAAACTCAACATTCACAACTGACCATAAATACAAGGAAGTTGACTTCTGACCGAGGCTCGCTCAACTGTTATTGGAGCACAGAGTGGGACTTAGGAACAGTCAGGTGTTCTTTTTTAAGTAACTTGCCCAACACTGTAATTCTGAATTGTCTTACAAATTGACTATATCAAATTTGGCCACAGCTCCTAAGTAACACTTCAAATTAAGGGGAATTTATTTTATTTTACAGAAAACTCGTCTTTTCGAAAGTGTTCATTCATTGTGCATACAATTAACATGACTGTGCATGTATTTATCACCAGAGCAACAAGATAAATAATTTGATTTGATCATTAATAGGCTGTATGCATGTAGATATGAGAATGTCGCTCACAGCTCGGGAGAAAATAGACTTGATTTTAAAAAGATCACTGCAAGTCAGTTCCACTTTGCATCTGGTGAACCCGCAGTGTCTTACAGTTTACCATCCAGTTGCAAACAAAATACAAACCTACGTTTAGGCAGGCGACCAAACTCATCCTACCACACTTCTTGCGATCAACCTTTAACTTACCTTGAATCCATGTCAGACATAAGTCTGTATGTAAAGTCTTACATTATAACATAGTGATATGGTAAGGTAAGGTAATAGCCTAATGTGATACTAATGAAATAGTCTGACCTGTGTTTGCTTTCAGTAAAGACTGTATGGATCCTGTCCATAACTCCTACCTTGGTCTTCTTGTCTGCAGTTCCCAGGTCTTTGCTCGGTGTGGCACTGCTTCCATTAGTTGCAGGTTTTGCCTTTTTGGCCTTCTCTTCTCCATTCACTTTCGCAGCCTTGTCCTTCTTGTCATCCTTTTTCTCCACAACCTTTTTGTCGGCATGCATCTTGTCCTGCTTCTCCTCCTTTTCGCTCTTCTGCGTCGGTTTTTCTGCCGGCTTCTCAGGCGGTTTCTCCACCTCCTCCTCTTTCTTCGTCTCCTCGGCTTTGTCTTCGTCAACCTCTTCTTTCTTGGTTTCTTCCACCTCTGCTGTTGTCTTTGTCTCCGTGTCAGCCTTATTCTCCTGCTTGTCATAACCCGTATCAAGCTTGGCGGGTGTCGGCTGCTGCTCTGGGGTCTTTTCCACGTTATCGATGTGCTGCTTTTTGTCGTCCTTCACCTCTGTTTTCTCAAGCATCTCGTTGTTTTTGTTCTCTGCTTTGTCTTCCACTTCGTCCACTTTTTCCACATTCTCTGTTTTCTCCACTTTGCTCTCTACCTTTTCTGTCATCTCCACTTTTTCTGCTTTCTCGGTCTTCACCAATTTCTCTGGTGATTCTTCTACCTTGTTTACTTTATCCTCTTTTTCTGCTTTCTGCTCTTTCTCTGTCACTTTACCCTTTTCTGTCTCTTTCCCCTTTTCTGGCTCCTTCTTTTCTTCCCCCTTTTCTGCCTGTTTCTCTGTCTCCTTTACTTTGTTTGCTTCTTTCTCCTCCTTCTCCTTCTCGGCCTCTTTTGCCTTTTCTGCCTCCTTCTCCTTCTCTTTTTGTGTCTCATTCTGTTTTCCCTTCTCCATCTCTTTCTCAACCATGGCCGGTGCCTCACTGCTTATGAATTCAACCTTCACGCTCTTCTGCTCAGCTTTATCCAGGGGGTCAAACAGGAGGTCAGCCTTCTTTACGTTGTCCTCCAGCTTCTCCTCTTTCTTCTCTGCCTTCTCCATTGTGTCTGATTTTACTGCAAAGAGAAGCAATTTTTATTAGAAATCACAACAATATATTATAGATAATAATAACAACACAAACATTCACTGGCTGTACTCCACAACATCACCACCAGCTGTACACATCCAAAACACAAAACCCATGACTCGAGGCTCAGTGCCCAAAATTAATCTCCCATACTTATCTCAGCTGAACATCACCAAACAAAAACCCCAAAGAGACTGTTCTTTCACAGGCAACTAAAGAAAAAAGTGAAATAAAGACAGTTTCATACAGCCATCACTGAAACTCCACTCAGTCCACAGACAGATTATGAAAGAATGGGCCCCTCGGCACAGATGCATGAAATGTCCCTCCTGCCTACATCGCCCTCAGTCGCCCTGCATCTTTTTTAGGGGTTTAAGAAAATATTTTAAAAATCTGATTGCAATATTTTATTTTGTGATATTGTATAGATTCTCAAAATTACTGTATCGATTTATGTGTTTAAACCTACAGCCACTACATAGCAGGAACACTGCTATGTAGTGGCTGTAGATCCCACTGTTCTGGTTGCATAAAAAAAGTGTTCACTCAGATTTTATGCACATGGTTGTGTGTTCTTTATATGATGACAGTTTTCCTAAAACTGAACTTTTTAAATTAAATGTCAATATATCACCTAGCTTACGGTATCGCAATACATCACAATATATCGAATCGGAATCCGTGTATCGTGATACGTATCATATTGCCAGATTCTTGCCAATACACAGTCCTAAACTTGTTGCAGGTTAACCACAGTTGTAGCATGCCACTGTTGGTTGAACACTGCGTTTAAGCATTTTTCATGGTGGAGGAACACAGATATTACATAAAATACTGTGGAGTACAATAGAAAAGATTAAAGAAAGGCATTAAAGGAAACAGGTTCTTAAAGCACTGCAATTTATGGGAATTGTTGGGTCTCTGGGAATAATATTATAAACAGTATGCTCTAGACCTGCTCTATATGAAAAGTGTCCTGAGATAACTTCTGTTAGGATTTGGTGCAATTAAAGCACAAATAAAATTGGATTGAATTTAATTAATGTCAGCTAATTGTAGCCCAAGTATGCACTGTGTAACTGTGTTAATTAGGAGTAAAATAGCATGAGTATGGGCACATAAATGATCTGAAATTTTTTTTTTTACAAACAAATGTATAGAAACGTGACAAAAAATACCACCAAAATATGCAGCTTTCTCTGCCCAACTAGAAATATTGTGATTGTTATTTATTAAGTGATATTTTATGTGTCTGCCTATACTGTATGCACTGTTGCTGACACTGTGTATGGCATGTTTTACCATACAGTAGCAGAAACAAATTCCACTCACTCTGATCACGTGGCTATTAAAGTTGCTCTGAAAAAAAAGTAAAAACACTGCGAAGAACATTTCCTTCTTAAGATTCAGAAAAGAAAGACAATGTTCCTTTCTCTATAAGTGTGGTTTCTGGGCTCCTACACGGCTCACTGGAGCAATCCTTCCTCTGCAGATTGATCTCTGTGCTGTATGACTATTTTATGTGTGAAAAAAGGCCCAGTGGAGACAAAAGATTGTGACTGGGAAGAAAATAAATTAACACAAGATAAGATAGTAAAAGTGAAGAGGATGCTCTTGTTAGACTTGATATCAATCATCCAACCAGACAAATGGAGACGAATGCAGAAGAGCTATCAGTTTTCTCCCTCACAGTCTGATTGCCCCTAACATTAAATGTTACTTGTGTTTGCCTTTGACAGATCATTGCTTTATTTACTCCTCCTCTACCTCCCACTGCGTCATCACAATCTCCAGGGCTTTAAATCTTTATGGTTACGTATGTTTTCTTTCCATTTTCAGCCTTTTTTACATTTCTTCTTTGGGGCACATTTAAAATGTCTGCAACAGGCCAATCAAACTGAGACACGCTATCCTCTCTGTCGTTCATCTTTCCTTTTTCTCCCCATCTGTCATGGCCAGTCACTACAGTCAAATGCCATCTGATGAGGCAGACATTGCTCATAATGAAAACCAATCTCTTCCTGTTGCCCAGGTTACCATAGCAGGCAAGGATGCAAAAGTGGAAAATGTGAGAATGGGATACAGAAAAAAATCCATTTCTGAAATATCTGTCGAGATGAACTGCACCTCAAACCTGAAATCTATAGGAAATATAGGTAATGTCTGTAGAAGACCTTCCAGATGTGGGATCTTTGAGTTTGTAAGTGAAAGCTATCAGTGTTGAAATATTCTTACCACAATTTAATAGATCATTTCATAAAAATAAAAAAAACATCAAGCAAAATGTGGAAACTAGCTAAAAAGAGTGCCCATTGTGCTTGATGGGGTTCAACAGAAAATAACAACAGTGATGGCCCCTGAGAGAAAACAGCAGAGAGACTGTTAAAGCCAGGTTTGTAAAAGAAAACAGTGGAATATTTCAGAGCTGGTCTGTAGATGTGAATGAAGACAAAATACTATAAATATGGATGATGCCCTGCTAAACCAAAATATATTATGCAATATAAACAAGCCAAAATAAGATATGTCTCCTATGTTGACTCACTGAATGAAACATGCATCATCAGACCTCAGGTGATGATGACCTAACAATGGGGTGAGCTGTGTCCCAGTTTGGATCCTCTGATGCCCACATTTATAAAAAAGGAATTACAGACAGTTCTGTAGAGGGTAGAGGCAATGCATCCTGAGCAGCCTTTACAATCCACAATCATTGTACGCCCGTCACACAGAAATGAATGTCACAAACCATTGTGCATATGTGGACCCCAATGCATATATATTTAGATAGTTATATACATGTCACTGTTGACGGGGTAACACCTCGGACACAGCCACCAAACGAATGAAAGTCAAAGCCAGCTCCACGCCGTTTTGAAGAAACATTTTGTTCAACCCAGAAACTGTACGAAAAGAGTGATTTTGAGACTGAAGGTGCCCATGGTCTTTTTCTACAAGCTGCACACAGGCAGGAAGGTCAAAGGACAGGACTCAAGACTCCAGTTTGTTTTTAATAGTTCCAGAAAACCCAGACAACCACGCCCACCCAACACAATATAATATTCATAGGTATGTTTTCATTAGTGTATAATCACCTGAAGGAATCATTGTGTTTTTGTTACATTAGAACGAGCTGTTTATATCTAAAGACACTGTGGGTCCCCTTCCATGGAGTCCGTCATTTCAAACCGCCATGTTTTGACAGTAGCACCGAAGGGACAAACCAAACAGAGATAGGGATGTTTGTGTTTTTTGCGCATTTCGCAGCCACTGTAGTTTCTCCTACACGCTTATAAGGAAAGGGTGTAACGAGGTTGCAATTGCAATTACACTGCTGGATGCTACAAAATGCTAGGCATTGGACTTTAAGCGCACTATTCAGTTTGAGTGTTTTTTTAAGAAAAAAAAAAAGTCAGAATATATCAGCTTCTTAAATGTGAGTGTTTTCTGGCTTCTTTAGTCCACTATGACAGGAAACGGAATATCTTCCGGTTGTGGACAAAACAAACATTTGAGGACATCACCTTGGACTTCAGGAAGCAGTGATCACCTTTTTTCACAATTTCTGACATTTTATGGACCAAACAACTTATTGATTAATTGAGAAAATAATCGACAGACTAATCGACAATGAAAATAATTGTTAGTTGCAGCTCCTTGTTACTCCTCTGAAAGTATAAAACATACTGAATGTAAAATACATTGCCCTGTATCATGTCTGTGTATTCAGACTTGACTAACTATGATTCAGAGAAGGAATTTTTGATGCAAGTTGTGGCAAACAGGCACTGCAGGTTTTACAGCACCTTGTTTGCCTCCACGGCTGCCTGCCGTGGGTCAAATCTATACAATAATGAACTACAATAATTAACTTTCCATTGTTTCTAACAGTGCCTGTACCTTAATTCAGAACAACCCTAACCCTAAACACAACATAACCATAACTCTAAATCTTTTGGCTTTTTTTAATCCTTTTTAACAAGGATATTTTTATGGCTGCTTTCTTTGCATTTATCTGTGTTTACACAGAGACGCAGTTATGCAGGTGTTAAGGAGTACCTCACCATGATTGCCGTACACAGGGTTTTAAAAATAGCTCAAAACACTAAACTTTCTAAGCGGGTTTTAGAGTATCAAAGCAGTTATTTTTAGGCAAAAACCTTTATGGTATACCCCTTGGAACAAAATACTTGGGTTCAGACCTTGGTGACATCAATGGCAATAAGGGTACTCGTGGAAGAATCAGAAGTGACAGTACTCACAACTGGTGAGTACCACCCCATTTCAGGCACTGATTTTTAAAATGCCAGCATGGACTTGTCCCTTTCACCTCAAGCAGCACCCCGTTAGCATTTAACTTGGTGAGCACAATTTCATTACCACCAATAAGGGCCAAAACTATGACAATATGGCTTTCTCATTTAAATGCTGCTGTTGTACATCACCCTTTGGTGTACTCAAATACACGAGTATCATAGTGGTGCTGATCAACCAGCTTATTGGCTCTCCCCTTCAGTTTTTATAGCCTCTGCTCTCTCTTCCAGGCTTCATTACAAACAGGGAGAAATAATGAGATTCTTACTCACACTCACTTTTGTGGCCATAACACGTTTCCTGTTGTTTCTGGGAGACTGATCAGACAACAGAGAAATCCCGTCAGAGGAATGGTAATTAAGAAGATGATGATAAAAGAAAGAGCAAAAGAGAGAGAAAGCAGCCTTGAGAGTCAGCATGGGAAATATTGATCAGCAGATTTAGAAGTGAGTGGGTGGACAGAAGGAGAGCAAGAAGAAAGACTAATATAGAGGGAACACAAAGGTGAAGAACTGGTTAGGGGTGTTCTTTTTTATATTAGATTTAGCTTTATTATGCCAATAACATTTAAAATGAACTTGTAATTGAAGAAGGGAGTCAAAGAGATAGACATGAAGGGATGGAGGGATTGAGGCTAGAGAACAGACTTTGAGTATAATGAAATGACATTGT